TAAAACACTGTGCAAAAGAGCAATCACAATATGTAGCGACCAAACATCTCTCGATGCCGAATTCAATAATATTAAAAAGGATTTGCTTCAGAACGGTTACTCCGAAAAATAATAACAAACTCTAAGCGGGAAACAACACCGGAACCATGTGAGGTAGATACTCTTTATCTCTTGACGATACCATACGTGAAAGGAATATCAGAAGAGATTAGGCGAATAGCTAAACAATATCAAGTTAAAACTGTATTTAACATTAAGAAGTGTACTCACAAAAACAAAGCCTGAAACGTCGATTCGAGAGAAAGAGTGTATCTACCAGATACCCTGTGAATGCGGAGAGTCATATATTGGCGAAACCAAACGACCTCTAAAAATAAGAGTTGAAGAACATAAGAAACATACAATGAAGGGTGAAACGCAAAAATCAGGTATCGCAGAACACGTGTGGACCAAACAACACAACACCCAATGGTCCAGAACGCGGGTTGTTCACAGAGAGCAGCGTTGCAGAAAACGCAAATTTAAAGAAGCAGTTGTCATTAGAAATAATGAAAATATCTTCAGCAATCCAAGCGTGGATATACCAACAATTTGGCAACCTCTAATAACTTCACGCTTGACTACACCCGACTCCCTCATGGATGAGTACCGTCGCCTAGTATATAAAGCGTGTAGCCTTCCTCGTCTGATCGACAAAGAGTCCACAATTCAATCTGATCATGTACTAATGATGCTCATATATGGCTTAAATTTTGTGAAGTAGCGTGGCATAATATAGTGAGTCAGCATTTGCCAGCAAATATATATAACGCCAAATTATTTAGCTAAGATGCAGACTGTTTTATCCGATATCCACTCTGGGAGCACGGGGACAATTCATTCCACATTTCGTAAGCCCAAACACAAATCTGCAATGTTTGGACAAACTTCTCCTGTTTACTAATATATTTAAATCTTAAAACTTTTATTTTACGAAAAACTTAGACTATTAGATATACATTTATACTTTTTTTTAATATTTAATTAATCATCTTTCTTAGTTATTATATGAGCATTATTTTTTTTTCTTCTTTTCGGGGGAGGTGAAACTTCGCCTTGTGGTCAATTTATTGCAACATTATGATCATTTTTTATCTGTAAATACGGTTTATTTATTTGACATGTATGTATTTTATCTTAGTTGATTGAGTACAATCGGCCTTTGTCAGCTATATGTCTTTTTCTAGGATTTTTTCGTCAAAACAATTCATAATCCTGCGGGTCATGATAGCCAGTCGTTCATTACACCTTAAATATCCGTGCGGCTGTATTTTTTACAGCTTTTCTCCAATTAAAAGACGGTTTCTATCCAGAAGAAGTGCACCTATGAGTTCCAAAGCCTGTGAAAAAGAACGATTCTATTGCCATTGCGACCGGCACGACCTATGCGGCTGTACATAAATCCGAGGATTTTTCGAATCCCCGCGACGGCTTTGCGCGTCCGAACTGCAGTGACCTCCACGGTCAGCGGTCTCGGTGATTTATGCGGTGTACACAACGGATATATAGAGCTTTAATTAACTGTGCGAAAGAGTGCGTGATTGTCGGTCTGCCTGTAAAATTAATCTGACCCACGTAAAGGTTTTCATTGAGCAGAAAATTGACGATCGGTTTCATCAAGAGAGACAATGGGGCAATGGAAATTATATCTTCGTTTCGTCAAAATCGAAAAGTTGGTTACTTCTATTCGCTTCAGAGCCAATTCCGTACCCAATTAAGGCGAATTCAATATCATTTTCGTTGCTCTCGGTCTTTTCAACTCGCTGACTTAGTTTCCTCTGCGAAGCAAAAGACCGACACCCCCGGGACTTATTGAAAAATGCCCCTTTGTGGCCGCGCTTCCCCATTTTCGAGTAAAATATGAGAAAATAACCAATATCCTTCGAATCCTATTTCGGCGACGCCGACGACGACAGATTACCGGCGTATTAAGGGGAAGGCCTTCGAAAATCCCACGAAGTGTCACTATACTTGGCGCTTACTTTTGGTTTTACAACCCGAAGCTGAAAAAAAGTTTTTTTATTTCTTATATTATTAATTGGCACCTTGTGTGAAGCATAAAATAGAGCTAAGTGAGAAAATAATTCACCAAAAAATGGGATGTGAGATAGAAAATGCCGGGAAAAAAACAGATATATTGGCGGAATAAAGTCAAATCATCAGGCACTAAAAAAGTATCTTATCAGAATATATCAGAACAACTATTGACAGAAGTTTTTTGCAGCTTTCCGTCGATCGCCATTGCTTCGACAATATCGATGTTTCCGAAATTTCAATAATTACTTTTTTAACCAGGATCTTGTCCGTATCCCTTGGCATCTCATTATTCGCGAAAATTATATTGGCCAGAAAATAGATATGTTTAATTTCTTTATAACTTAATTGTTTGATAAACATGCTCCGTTTGTCGTTTCTAAGATCACCAAAACCTATGCTGCTTGGTTAACGCATACTATTCGTGAAATAATGAAAATGAGAGATAGTCTATTTCCAGAATATAAAAAATCCAAATCTATCGCTGACTACATTGCTAATAAAGAAATAAGGAATGTTGTATTTGTCTTGCATTTGTCGATTCTAGGAATTCTAAATGGATATGGCAAACTTTAAATATGTTCAAAATTTGTAATCGACCGATTTTAGAAATACCACCTAACTTAAAAAATTCCAGTGATATTAATCATTTTTTTACTTTTGTTTTTAGAAATATTAACAATTACCTCCGAACCACTTCTTTCAAGTTCAACTGGAATATATCATTTGCATTTAAACTCGCAACTATTGACTCAATTAAAGCCATTATTTCAAACTTTAAGTCAAATTCTGCTGGTGTTGATTATGTACCTGCTAGAATGCCTCAGATGACCCTCCATATTACCGCCCCATACGTTACACATATTCTTAATTGGTGTTTAGAAGTATTTGGAAATTTGCTTTGATCACACCATTGGCAAAAAATAATAATCCCAGTATACTTTTACACTCAACGATCACGTTATTACTTCTTTAGATAATAGTCTTACGAGTGCGCATATATCATTAGACTACTCCAAAGCCTTTGATCGGCTTGACCATAAACTTATGTGCTCCAAAATGATTTTTTGAAAACTGCTTAGCCAACAGATATCAGAGAGTTACCCTTGACAATGCAAGTTCAGAATTTCTCCCTATATATATCAATTTGGATTTGCATACCTTATTTAAACCTAACATTGAACAAGTACCAATCAATCAATGAATTGTAATAAAAACCTTGGTGTTATATTTGATTGTAGACTCGTGGAATATGTGTCTTTGTTGGTGAAAAAGTCTTATTTGGTTTTGCGCCATTTATACAGGCATAGAACTGTCATTAATTTCAGTTTACGGAAACTTTTGGCGTAATCACTTATTCTTTGGATTATGAACTATGGTTTACTCCTCTATTACCCATGTCTTGGTAAAATTCAAAACAGCTGTTGCAGATTTATTTTCGGCTTGTATACAAGTATTTTTTGGCGTCCATGGTTTCCCAAATTATTAGCACGTCCAATCCGTCCTACTACAGACTCTCACTGTCACGATATCGTTTAGCTTTGTTCCGCAGATCATTTTCTTATAACGCTAACACAGTCAATTAAATTCTTTAAAAAATATTTCAGGTTGAAATTGTTAACTTCCCAAATAATTTGATTTTCAATGTATTCTTTTTATTTTTACTTTTTATGGTTCCATATTACTATTATATTTATATATTATACTATATTTAATTGTAATTATAACTTCCTATTGGTTTTCAATTTAAACATTTAAGGGGTTAAGTGGAGTAGGTTTTCCTAAAGGCAATTCAAAACCATGCACTACAATAACCATACAATAAAAATATATCGAAACGTAGGATATATAATATATATATATATATATATATATATATATATATATATATATATATATATATATATATATATATATATATATATATATATATATATATATAACAATCTAATTAAAAGTAACTTAATGTATGGTTCAGAAACTTGGAGAATGTCAGAAAAACATAAAAGGTTAACCGATTCAACCGAAATGGATGCACTTAGAACGTATCTGATACGGCCATATACAGAGTAGCTAACCAAATAATGAATTGGATACCACACCACCGAAAAAAAAAGAACTTAGATATTGTTCACACATTGTTACACCGAATTTAAATTTTAATCAAAATATTGACACAAAAAATACAGACTATGTCAATGGTGTGTGCAATTTTCAGTAGACTATATTTTTTTAGACATCTATCGTGAAATAAAAAATTTCAAATCCTTTTTGGGCTCTAAAAATATTACCCAATAACCCGAAGTACAGTACCTCTTTAATATACTATTCCTCTTCCCCCACGAGATACCGCAGTTCTAAAGATTTCTATAGACGTCTGTCATAGCCATCTGCAGTCATGAATTCTGACTTGCTCCGAACGACCGTCACCTTATCTTCGGTCTTCCCTTCTATTACCTGGCGAAGAATCTCGTATAACTCGCCTCTCCTAGATTTTCTCCCCTTGACTGTCCTGATGAGTTCTTTAGTGCAGGACGCCTATGTTTGTCTGATGTTCCTTCCATCCATGATATTCGCAGCCTTCGTCTATTCTCTTTTTGCTCTTTTGGTTGCATCTATGGTCCAAGCATACAAAATAACGGAAAAGATGCAGCAGCCATGTTGTACTTGATCTGTTTGACGAGTGTGCACAGGTACTTTAAAGATGACATCTGTCCAATGATGTCTCCGTGAAGCCCTAGGAATTTGCGCCTTTGTATCTAAAGGAATATTAGTTTGATCTTGAACTTATTCAAACACTGCTCACTATATTCCACAATAAGGTGCATTAGAGACCTCTAGATGTTACGACACTATGATCTGCGTATTATTAGCACAGAAAGAATAGCAAAACTGAGCGGATTTACTACCCATTCGTTTTGTTCCAGGTGCCGCCCTGATGAAGGTCGTCGAGGTCTACAAGGAAATTCAAGACCAGCAGATGAATATTGTAACGTCCCATCTCGCTCGTAAAAGTCTTCGTTTCACTGAATTAATCTTTTTCAGCTGAAAGCTTTCTACGTAGACCTGCTGGTTCCGTTGGAAACTAACCTGGAAAAGGACACTAAAGTCGTCCAGGTAACCGAACGCATTTTCCGTCTGACTTTCTCATTTTCTAATTTTTTTTTAATTCCAGTCGGAGCAGAAACGTTTCCTGCAGCAGCACAAGCAGCGCTCGGAAACGTACAGCAAGGCGGCGGCCATGATGAAAAAACAAAGGAAAAAGTCGCGGGGCTCGACGAAATCGGGCCTCGCCATGGACAAGGAACTCAAGGTAAACGGAGAACGGCGTTATGGGCGAGCTCGCGTCAATCCGAGCGCGAAATTCAGATTTCCCGTTCCATAACTTCTTGTTATGGTTTGAATTCGATTTGCATCTTTTAAACTCGGTCGATACGCTGTGTGCCGCGTCGCTCTGGCTCTGGAAATAACTTACATCCCGCTGCGTATTATACAGAGTGTTCCAAAAAACGTTCAAGATCCGTAAATTAAATTTAGACGACAAAGTTACTGTTGAAGGTTATACGGTTGAGGAATCTAGAAGAGAAATAGGAAATGAAAAGATAACGAAAAAAAAGGCAAACCCAAGAATACGAATTTTTCTTCTACTGCCTGCTTCACATGGAACGAAATTGATAATAAAAGGGGGTCGTCTGAAATTTTAACATGCGTTCTTAAGTTTCTGGCAACATTGTGACGCGAAGAGAACTAAAACTGTTTATTTATTTGTTAATTAATGTACAGGGTGGTCCAAATTCGAGGGGCCTCTATGGCTTTAAGCGTTTGCAGCATACCCCAACATTAATATGGATGTTACGTGCTCGATTTTTGAGAGAAGTCAAAAACTGAAAACCGCATCATGATATGTCAAAGCGTTTCTGAGGTACAGGGTGATTTTTAAAAATGTGCGTTTCTAAAAACCCTCTATAAGTTTTTTATTTGTCAAGATGCAGATTTTTATTAAAAACATATTTTGAAAAAATTTTTTAGGGGCAAATAATCTACCTGTTTCACCGATTTTGTCTTAAAGCCTTTAGTTCACGAGATAAAACACAAAGTTACATTTTTTTAAATGGAATACCCCAATTTAAAAAATAGTTTTCTAATAAGATTTCCTGTCAAACGATGTGCCATTCACCTATTTTTAATCTGTAGTTAAAAAGATATCTGCAATTTTTTATAATTACAATAGTAGGCTGGGCTTAAATCTGACCTATGCAGTTTTACGGTACCTATCTAGGTAGCCATGATCAGATAAAAACCATTGCCATGATACACAAGCCCAAGTGTCAATGATGCTGATAGTTTGATGGTTTGAAAAGTTTGAAAAGTACAACCTGATAAAATGTTATATTGAAAGTAACGAAAATCTACAGACAGCGTTAAATCTATATTTCCAGAGATATCCGAAAAGGAGGCAACCTAGCCAAAAATATTTTTGAAGTTAAAACGTCATCTACAACAATACGGATTCTTTACAAAACCGCGGCCTAGGACGTATAGAAGCCTAGCCAGAGATAGAGAATATCGTGATAGAGCTTGGGGTATTTAAGATGGAGGGTATGTCTGACCATCATATGGTACACTGCAAATTGAAGATACCTAAATCTAAACCGAAATCATTTTTTAAAACCTACAGGGATAATTTTTGTTAAGAACATTTTCGTAACTGACGTTGATGAAATGATGGAGTTTTTTAATACTAACTTACTGGAGGTGTTCAGCTTGTATGCGACTTTAAAAACTCCGAAGATAACAAAACCGCCAGCTCCTTGGCTCACTTAAAAATAATGATTTAGTTGAAACACAAAGCACTGTCTAAATATAAGAAACAGAAAACCGAAATATGCTGGATTGGATACAAGGAGTTGAGAAATCTTGTAAATATGTGCTAGAAAAAGTTGTTGAGAAGCAGCTTGGAGATTTTATAGCTTTTATAGCACATTATGGTATAAATACGGCTCTTTTAAAAATTTGTGATGATATATTTCGGGCAAATGATGTAGGCCTGAATACCTGCTTAATATTGCTTGATTATAGCAAGGCATTTGACACTCTGGACCACCGCCTGCTCTTTGCTTAACTGAAATACTTTGGTGTGGGGGCTGGTGTGTTTCATTTTTTCAAAAGTTACTTTTCTGGTGTCAAAGAGTATTCTTCAATAACTGCTATTCGAATTATGTAAATTTTCGCAATTGTGTGGCACAGGGTAGTATTTTAGGACCGATGCTGTTTTCCGTTTATACCTCCGACTTCTGTAAATTTATTAAGCGTTGTTCCTCTCATTAGTACGCAGACGATATTCTTTTAATTACTCTTAAATTAATACCGCCGTTAATAATAGAAACAGTGACCTACGTGCTATCAGTGATATTTCTAGTAAGCGTGGTCTGCTATTTAACGAAAAAAAGCCGCAACTTATAATTTTATATGTTTAATGTTATAACAGTATCATATGCTCGTTTTAGGAGGCATGGATGCCGCCCCCACGGTTATATATTTTGTAAGATATCTCCTTCGAAACCGAATAAAGGCCCTTTATTATTATTACTATTATAGTTATTTGAGAGTTTTTATTTTATTAATTATCCCTCCCCATATTTCCCCAACAAGTTTCGATATAACGGGTATCTTTATTGCAGAACATGCAAGTACTGGAGGAAGAGAAGACAAAACTCGACGCGTTCTGCGAGCAGAGCCTCAAAAACGTGAGTCTGCGGCGCTGGTCCCGAGCACACTTGTTCATAACATCGTCTATTTTCAAGGCCATGACGCAAGAACGCCGTCGCTACGGTTTCGTGCTGGAAAGACAGTGTTCCCTCGCGAAGCACTACCTCTCGTATCACGCTCACGGCGCCGAGTCCTTCCAGCAGAACATCGAAAAGTGGTCGGAGGTAGCGAAGACCCGCGAATACTTGCCCGAATCGGTGGAGAACATCTTCAGCAACAGGCTGAGGCAGATTTCCGTTTGGCAAGACGACGACCTGTACTCCAACCCCCGCAGTCCGAACTTCGAGGACGATCGGATCAGTCTCAACTCGCAGCTGCGGAAAACCAAGAGCATGGACGCATCCTGTCTAGATATAAGGTCCATACAGGAAGCCGGCTCTCCCGTCAACACTTTGTCCAGGGCGAAGTCGGAATATAATTTGAATTCCTCGCCGCGTTCCGCCTCCCATGGTAAGCGCATTCCCGTCCCCTTGCCGGTCGCTGTTTTAACATTCGTGCATACGCAGCGTATGAAGGACAAGAAACCCTCAATGAAAAATTGAAATCAACAAAATTATATTCTCTACGTGATAGTGTGGTCAAAATACAAGATTTTCAAAAATGTTTACCCCTATTATAGTATTTTTCAAAATGTATGTCGACGTTGTCCGACGCTTTGCATTTGGATCTTCCCAATCGACATCTTGCAGGTTTCTTGCGCTCATCGATTTTTTTACGCCCTGTTTCCAATAGGTTTTTGGTCTTCCTAATTTCCCGTGTTCTTTATGTTGCCATTCCATTGCTTGCCATTCGTTGCACGTGTCCATACCAAATTAATTGTTTCCTTTCAGTATCATCTACAACGGTTCTCAACAGATTCTACCCTTTTTTTATATTTTTCTGTAAGTCTCCAACTTCCAGCACCATATTGTAGGCTGGATTTTACAAACCTTGTCATCTATTCCCGTTGTATCAAAAATAACTCTTGGCAATGTTTAATGTGCAATGTGTAGTTGTAGATCACCAGGTTCTTCACCAATACATAACTGCAAGGCACCATTTCCCATATTCTTCGATCAGTTTACGTATTATGTACTCCATGTACTCTTTATCATTTGATTGCTCGTCTGCAAACTGCAAGGTGTATAATTAAAAGTTATTAAGTTCAATCCCCATTCCGTGTATTTTCCTTTTCCATGGCTTGAGGGCTGCAGCCACATAGATATTAAACAGTGTTGGAGATATACAGAACTCTGTGTGAGGCCTTTATTTTTTGGGAATTCCTTGGTGATATAGTTCCCTAACTTCGTTCTTGATGTCGTTCCATTCTACAAATCTTGCAGTGCAGCAGTAAGTGTGTGATTGATGTCCTTTTACCCCGGAAAAGGGTTGGGTTGACACAACTGATAAATGTAAAACAAACGCGCCATCAAATAAAGGTAAACGAACTATGAACTATTTTGCATGCTGGCTCTAAAAATGGTTGGATTCCAAATGGACATTCTCTGTTTGCGAAAAATATCAAAGATTCTTCTCTGGATTACCGCTAATTTATTTGAAAGTTTCTTTTAAAAACAAACTACTTACAAACATTCTTCCTAATAGCGTCATTGTAATGGACAATGCAAGTTATCACAGTAGACAGTTTGACTAAAACCCCTTCCTTATGTGACACAAAAGCAACAATCCAAAATTACATGTATAATAACGACATTTATTTTGAAGATTATACAAAAAAGCAATTAATTGAGATTCTACAAAGCTTGAACCTTCAAAAAGTATACATACGTCTGTGATAATTATGCAAAAAATCTAGGGCATACAATTTTAAGGCCTTACCACTGTATATTTAATCCCATTGAACATGTTTGGCACCAACTGAAATCTGCCATTCGTCGTAACAATGTTTTTCCCTGTGTTAACTCGAATGTCCTCAAACTTATAGAAACTGAAGTTTTTAACATCCCTCCACAAAGTTTGGCAAATTCTGTTAAACATATAGAAAAAGTAGAACAATCGTGTATCCATATTGCAAATAATATAAAAGAAATAATAATTAGAACAGGCGATGATAGCGATAGTGATACTGATACATTATGTGAATAATTTTAAGTAATTTTATTTTAGATTTAAACATAAATACATACATAAATAAATAGATATTGTTATTTCATTCTTACAACTTGCCCGGGTCTTTCCTTAATCCTTATTAGTTAGTCACTTTCTTATATCTATGAATTTATTGCCTGGATCGCCTTTTGAGGTGACTTGAGTAGTAGATTTGGTTACTTCTACAACCCCCTCCCCCAGCTGGAACTGATTTGACAAATGTATGTGCTTTTTGTTTTTTAAGACTATTATGATTATACTCAACGTTTTTGAGTTGCTATGGTTGTATTTTACTACTTTAATTAAAATTGATCTAAAACGTTGGCTTTTGTTAAAATATTTGTGCCGGCTCTTCGCGCTTTTAAATTTTATTTTAAAAAACACGATTGATGGATAAATTCCTTTTCAGAAAATCTCGAGAAGCCAATAAACAATTGTAATTGTATTCTCCAAAGATATACCATCATACCGTCTTGTGGATGTGTGTTATATACGTTGGCCCATTGTAGTACTTCTTTTTAATTAAATAAATAAAGAGATAGAGAGATGAAAACAGACGAGACGTCGTTGTCGTTTCAGATGATGATCGTACCCCGACGCGCCGGCCCAAGTCGATGGCGGTACCGCCGCCTCCGGCATGGGACGCTCAATTGGGGCGGGCGCTGTATGCTTACCTTTCCAGCGGCGAGAACCAGCTCAGTTTCCACGAAGGCGACCTCATCGCCCTGATCGGCGACAGGAATAAAGGCTGGCAGTTCGGAGAGAACTTGAGGACGCAGTGCAGCGGGTGGTTCCCGCTCGCGTACACCGAGATCCTGATGGACGACGAGCATACGTACGTCGATGGTGTTATTGTCCGCGGTAGCGGGTTGAGGACAGATTTTTTCCGCAGCTCTCCGAACCATCGTAACGAGGCGGGGGGGTCAGGGCAGCAGCCCCGTAGCAACGCTGCCACGCCTACCAACGCAGGTGCCGTGCACGCTTCCGGTACTGGTACGCTAGAACAGAACACCCCCACTCGTTTGTTCGGCGACACTTTGCACATACACCGGTCCACTAATAACGCTAAGCAGGTAGAATTGCGCTAGTTGTTTTGGTTAGTTTGTATTCGAGTAGAATCTTTTCGACTTGGAATCGCATCTTTACCTACGCCGTTGCATTTGGTTACCGTGTGGGGTAATTTTATGGATATGTTAATTATATGTAAAACGATATAAATGATTTACGACGCAGCTGAAGTCATAGACCCTCTAATATTAATTTTATCTCGGTTAAAGTTAAATGACAAAAGCTTACCTCACTTGCGAAATACAAATATTTGCAGCATAAATTGCTATGTTCATGGAGGTAACTCAAACAATTGAGCCAATGTAATTCAATCTTTTGATCTAGAGCAGGGTTTCCCAACTTTTTTTGTTCTTTGCCCCACTGTAACATTTGTTAATTTTTTATGTCCTCCATGCATAATTTTTAACACTAAAAAATTAATTTTTCCACTTAAGATAATAAAGGATGGGTTTCAGGAAGGTATCACTATGAGATTGCTATCAAAAAACGGTAAATAATATTTCAAAACATATAATAAAAAAGTGAAATTCAAACTTATACAAATTTAACAGAGATTTTCTATATTAATTTAGTGCTATCCTTGCGCTTGATGCTTGATGCATAGAGATTTTATATCGGACTCCAATTTGGTTAGCTAAGTTAATCTCAAGTCTCCACGTTGTGTTGTGTTGTGTCCAGTCGATTTCTTAAAAGATGGAAACGGTAGAAAAATTTGTCTTGCATTTTTGGTTGCATTTGTTTCTTCACAAACCCATGCTATCTCTCCTTTTATATTAAATAAAATTTTTACTGACTCATAATTTCGAAATTCTGCGAGTTCTTCTTGATACTGCATATTTGATATATCAGACAAATCGACTAATATTAGCTGTTGCGAAATCAATTTGTTCTAAATCTTCACATGTTCTGCGCCAATGAAACTGTTTAACTATTAACTGTTGTTAATATGGTTGTGATAAATCTGTATATTGGTAGTGAAACAAATATCTTTGCCTTTGTGTCGACAAGTATTTTATTTGTTCCTTGAGGTTGCTTATTTTGAGTTTTTCAAAGATATCGGTTAAATAACTTGCAAATGCTTTATCATCGATAGTTAACAGATACTTCATTTCAGGATTGTCTTCCATAAGTCTTTTCAAGCGTTTCCTTTAGATAGCCATCTTACTTTAGTATAAAATAAAAGTCTCACATGGTCTTCCTTTTGTTCCTCACGAAATAACTTGAAAAAACGGTCAGATTTGGCACCAGCTCTAATGGAATCATCGCACTTCATTACTGCATGTAGTACTTCATTTAGAAAAGAGATATTTTTGGCAACCAAGTTTTCCCTATAAAGAACACAATGCACAAAAATCATTTCTGGATTCGCATCTTTCATCAGTGTTAAGCAGTCATTTTTCGTGCCCATCATTTTAGGGGCGCCATCTGCAGACGTTATATTTTTCATTGGTATATCATTAATATCTAAGCAGTTTTTTAACTTATAATAAATATCCTTCAAGGTAGTGGTGCTAATCTTCTACAGAACAACATTCCTTCAGCAAAATGTGCTTCATCAATATACCTTACATAAGTTATCAATACTGCCTCACCGTCTCTCAAAGTTCATTTATCTATTTGCACTGAGAATTTTCTTGTTTTCAGCAATTCAACAAATTATCTTTCAATGTCTTCGCTCATTTCGTTTATTCTTCTGCTAACAGTATTGTTACTGAGTGGCATAGCTTTTACATCTTTGTCAACTTTTTTCAGAACCGTTTTAGGAAATGCTGATATTGACGGTTTGATCAAATTCTTTCATATAATGTGATTTTTTCCAGTTTTAGCAATTAATAAAGGTATTTGATAAGCCTCAGTAAAAGGATTATTAGTAGAGACTTTAATTTTGTTCTTTTTCCAAAAATTTTCTTCAAAGTTGTAAAGCAATTCAAATCTGAACTAATATTGACGACCTCGTTTCATTGATTCGTTGGTTAGTTGGCATAAAAGACAAAAAGGCATCCGGCTATAGTGAACAGCAACCAACCAACTAACCAAATTTTAAATACTCCTCCGAATATTTAAGAATTTTTTCTTGCTGGCATCACTCATTTTACTATGGGCTAAAAAAAATTTCAATTAAAAACTAATGATAAAATATGTGTTATAATGAGCTCAGTATGACAGAGTAAAGGTATACTAAAAAAATATATTTATTTCAATGTATATAAAACATTTGCATATTTTTTACACTTCATATAATTTAATTTTATTGAAAGTTAAATGCTTATAAAATTAAAATGAATATCAAAAAAATCAAATACTTACCAATTATATCTATACAGTATATATAAATATATTTATTAAAGCAACGATTAACTGATGGACACTCATTTAAATTAGCACCAACTGAATGATATGTGAAACACTACAGAAGTGGAGTTGAGCCGATTAGGCGCGGACAACTGCGTTGTTTAGCGAGTTTTAAAACATCCGCACAGCATCGGCATCGGCAAGCGACACACTGCGGTGAATCGCCGAAGCAGTTTACTTGACGACTCTAATCACCCAGTTGATATTTGTTTATTTATTTATTTATATGTCACAGACCATTCAACAGGCAGACACAGCTACCCAATTACAAAATGGCACAATATAGTCTTTTATTATTTAACAAAATCGAAAAAAAAAACTGATGCTTGTTGAAGCCTTTGGTAGTTCGCAAAATGAATCCCAGATTTCTCAAACATTTTTTGACAATAGTTTCAATATAAGCCTCAAAGTTTAACTGTGTGTTTAATTCCCAAGTCTTTTACTTGCTTCACTCTTTTCAACTGTTTGTTATTAAGCATTAAGTTAATATCCATAAAATCATTTTTCCTTGTAAATAGAATATATCGACATTTTTCAAGATTTTCAAGATAATCAGCAAATCTGTTAAGATCGCTCTGAAGCTCTAATACATCTAAACGTAAACGAATCTCTTTATTTACTTTTAAATCATCGGCAAAAGGAGTATAAACAGAAACCGGGAAACAAAGGCCATCGAAAACAAAAATATTAAAGAGTAAAGGACCCAGATGAGATCCCTGGGGGACACCTGAGGTAACATTTGCACGATGAGAGTTATTACCATTGACAACAACAAACTGAGATCTTTCTGTAATACAGCTTTGCAATAGTTGGAAGAGGTCGCCGTGCACACCGAAATTTCCGAGTTTTATCATTAGAGTTGGATGATGTACTTTATCAAAAGCCTTGGAAAAATCGGTATACACATGTTAGAAACGTCAAAGGACCTAATTATTATTTACAGCAATTTTTTATGATTTTGCTTTTTTTATATCACCGATATCTAGTCTTCCGGAGCGAAAGTGTTAAAGTCTCGCATTGCACAAAACATTTCGACATTACAATCTAATCTGGAAATTATAGTAAAATATGCCGATCACCCTTCAAACGCAGTAGGTACACAATATGAAATGACATTCATTCAATTCAAATGACACGAATTTTTCATTTGCGTCGGCATTACACTTCTATGAACTTCTGATCTGCAGATGTCCCTAAGCGTTTTTTCGTGGCATTTTGTTCCGTACTAGTGAAAATTAGGTTCTTTTAGTGCCTTTTGAATGCAAGACTCGGGATGACGCGAGTAGTAGAATTTCGTTACTTCTACATCCCCCATCCCCCGGGAAACTTATTCGACAAGTTTATGTGTTTTTTAAGATTGTTATGAATATTTGCAGTCTGTTAAGAATTTTTTTGAAATTGTATGGTTTTATTTCACTACTTTAATTAAAGTTGACCTAAAAATTTTGCTTTGTTTAAAAAGTCAATATCTTTCCCTCTTTCTTAATAATATTACATATTAACTTGATTTGCTAACTGTCATTTGGGTACTCTCTGGCCCGTTTGTGTTCCAGATTCGCCGCGCGATCGGTTCTAACAACATCCCCCCTCCTGCGTTGCCAGCCCCCGTCCCCACTCCCTCACTGCCGTATCAGAAATCCGGCATGTCCCAATCTCAGAGCACCAATTTCTCGAAGGAAACGAACAATGTCCAGTATTCCGCACCCGGAATCAAGTCTTCGGCTTCCGCGTTCGGTTTTCCTTCTGCGGTGGCGCCCTCCGGCGGGCAATACTCGACGCATCCAGCGCCTGCGAGATCTGACCGACCTCCGACGGGTTCTTCGCTACCGTTGCACCTGCAGACCAAGGGCGGCAAGATCGGTAAATCGTAAGGTCAAACTTCGGCGACGTGAAAACAATTGATGTTGCAATTGCGCAGGTGGACCGGTGGGAAACGTTTCCCTCCATTCGAGCAACGACTCGGGATTTTCGAATGATCCTCCGCCCCAACCAGAAGTCGATTACTCCGACGACGACTCAATGGCCGGACAAATCAAGTTGATGACACGGTAAGTTAGAGGTCACTCGTCGATCGGAACTCCTATAAACCATGTACATTTTGTACACCAAGTACAAGTTCATCAGTTGTGGATTATTCGTTACTTCTGCGGCCTCCATCCCGTGATGGAAATCTTGAGATAACGAACTTCCTAATCAATGTTTCGCCGCTTTTCCAAAGCACAAATTGTAATTAAAAAAGTTAGCCAAAATATCTTCCCATATTCTATTATCTACTTTTTATTACCGCCAGATTATGCGCTACATATCCTAGTCTAATTAGTTACCCCTCGTTTGTTATTGGTATTGAGCTGGATCGACGAGCAACCTCTGAAAGTCATTTGCTGTGGTATCGCATGCGCTTTTTTTATTATGGTTTCTGGCTCGTTTAATATTTTAATTTGCTCCGTTCGCCCCGTCCACAGTGGTAGGTCGAGAAAGTCGCCGCACGGCGACACGAACAACAATACCCTCCAGCATCCGAAGAAACAAAAGCGGTCGCAAAAGTCCAACAGCCACGGGAACTTGGTGGAGAGCCGTTACTACGCCGCGTCTGACGAGGCAGACGCGGCTAAAGTGAAGGTGAAACGGACGAAGTCGTTCTGGAAATTTGGCAAACACGGCTCGGACAACGAGATCCTTGAAGGGATGTCGCTGTGGAGACACCGAGATCTGGTGGACCTCGACGACGAAAACAACAAAAACAAAATCAACAGCCAAACACGCGTGAGGAAACCGAGCCGCGACGTTTCCAATGATTCGGACAGAACGATGGTGGAGAAGGAGCCGCCGAAAGAGTCGAAGAAGAGCGTCAAGCCGGCGAAGAGTTTTAAAGATAAAGCGAAACCGGGCGCGGAGCAGCCGCCACGCAGAAAGTCGTCGGCTAAAATCAAGGAAGAAGAGAAGATTTACGAGACGCGGAAGCCAGCCACTTTCGATGATCAGTTTTATGACGACGACGGCGACGGATTGATGATGAAAACGGTGAACAGAAAGAACATCCTGCAGCAGTATAGTGACGATATATCTGCGGGAGATTCGGAATCCGAGGAGAGTACCAGCGACGACCCTTACGATTGTATCGTCGTTGATGATCAAAAGGTGAGGCGGAGCGACACCAGGTTCCCCAACGTCGCGGAAATCGGCAAAAAGCTAGAAAAGCTATCCAAGTCGAGCAAGTATTCGCCCAATAAAGAACCCATCGCTCAGGTAAGGGAAAAGAACGATAAGAACGCTGGCGATGTTACCGTTGAGTACCGGCACTCTTTCAAGACCTTCGGGGTCGAGGTACATAACGACGAAAACGGGGAGAAGGAGATGTACAAGAAGAGCGCGGAAAGCGAGTCGCACTACGCCGAATCGAATAAGAGGACGGCTAAGAAGGAGCGACCCAGTTATGAAAGCATCGCCTCCGACGTCGACGGCCCCAGGTCGAAGTACTACGACTCCGCCAACGACGAGCTTTCCGATACGCTCGAGAATAGACAATTTCTGCCTCGCACTAAGCTAGGCAAGACAAACAGCGGCGGCTCTAAAACCGATCAGGACGTCAGCCTGATGGAGTACGGCGAAACATTGCAGAGACGCCTTAAAAATCCCGAATACAATTCGAAGTACGATGAGAAGTCGCCTCACAACGGGAACATGTACGGGCCGTGGTACGATTTATGGGGCCTCGATTCATCTGCTAGGAAGTGACGCATGCTGCACGTTGTAGTTGTACGTTGGTCATGTTTTTCATCTCGGTGACGGTAGTTTCATGCTTGCAGGTCTTCGAACGCTAACTACGCCACTATCAAACTCCGGAAGGCTAATCCCACTCCTGACAGAAAGTCGTCACTAATCCTCGAGTAGTATCGCCTAGTGGGAAGCGTATGTTAGGTTATCGTCGTATTCGTGCTAGTCTATTATCTCTGTCTCTAAAATTAACTTGAACTTTGTATATACATATATCTCCTCTCGGTGGTTGGGAATGGTGCAATAACGTTCTTTCGCAAAACGATCCCTTGTGGCAGCGGCGGGTCTGGCTTCATTAATATAATGTATAGTGTACATAAATGTAATACGCGAAATGCTCATTGTACGATATTTTTCGTCTATTATTTTGTCCCGAAATTGTACGCGTAGGTTACACCGCGGGACATGTCCATTACACATTCTTATATATATAATCAGCCGTAATCGTATATCACGACATAACCGTAACCGTTGTCCAATATGTTATACTCAATATTATCGTCAACCGTTTGACAAGTCATTTTGTAAACCGTACCATTTATTATAACAATAATAATAATGATAAACTACCCGATTTGTTTTTGTATAGAGGTAGCTTAAGTGTTGTTAAACTTGTATATGATTTTATTACAATTAATAAAGTTTTATATTGTTTTAAGCGCAGGTTTTTGTTTTTTGGCGAGGACTTGTACAACCTAATCTCAACGGGAAAAAAATGAAATGAAAAAAGGGCTAGCGGTCACTCAACTCAATAAAATTCATTTATTCATACAGTGAGCAGTCTATAGTCGTATCTGATTGCCCCTTTTCGTAGGAAGGAAATTTTGAGCACTTGAGTTATCTAAAAATACACAGGCTCTACTATTGGTTAGTTTAGGGACGAAAACAAAATTAACACGAAAGGGAGCTTAATAATATTGTTTCTAACTGAACGGGTTTAGTCTTAAAAAAACTGACCAGAGAAGTAGCGTGCAGAAATATTTCTAATTATGAACAGAAAATAAGGAAAACGTTTATTTTCTATAATAGACTGTTTCCTTCGCAACAGGAGGCTGAACTGGCAACTTTTCCGCCAGGGCGTGGCTAAATTAAAAAGGGATTGACTTCCGATGAAAACCGCATTCTGGAACCGTCTCTGGTGGTATTGGTATTGGTATTGGTATTAAAAGGGGGCGCCCTCACGGGCGTCTAAGCACTTAGGCCACCAGATGGGCCCGTTGTGCCCCCAGGCCGCTCTAGAGGGCGTCCAGAATGCCGCCCCTCCTATAGAAGGTCAGCAACTCCTTTAGCCCAATACCGTGCACTGAGTCCGGATCGATCAGGGCCGTTCCGAAGACTCCCAATCTTGCCCATGTCAAGGCAGGGCACTCGGTGAGCAGATGATACGGGGTTTCCCCTCCTTCCAAGCACCACCTACACTCCGGGTCGTCTCCAATGCCTAGCAAGCAAAGATGCCTCCTAAGCCTGCAATGTCCTGTGTAGGCCCCTGTTAGTGCTCTACACTCCCTTCTGGTCAGTCTAAGCAGCGCCCTGGTCCGAGGGAGGGCGGGCCCATCCATCATAAGCCTCGCCTGCCTCATTCCCGGAGCAACTCTCCAGCCCCCCGCGGCCCGGTCTCTCGCCCAGGCTTCAAGAGCTCCCTGCCTCACACACGGGGCGATCCCCAAGCGGGGCTCTGGCCCTATATGCCTATGCGAGGCGCCCTCTCTGGCTAAGGCGTCCGCTGCCTCATTGCCCCGGATACCGGTGTGACCCGGGACCCAGAACAACGTGACCTTCCTCTCCTCAGCCACTCTCCTCAGTACCCCTTTGCACTCCTTCCTCTATGGTGGTTATCAAAAAAACGACTAGGTTTAGCCATAGGAAGTGTCATGCAAGGTGTCTTCATAATTAATGGCATAAAAAAACGTGAAGAAATACATAGAGAGTTTAATTAAAGAAATAAAATAACCTTATCCTAAGCTATTAATCGAGAGTACACTATATAAATACGTCATTTTTTTTTCAATAATTGAATCTACCGGAATGATCGATAGCGCCATTTATCATTTTCCACTTATCTCTACTAGCTCTTGTGGAAATAAAATTGTATTTACTGATGAACAAGAAAAATATTAAATCCAAATCACCGCCAGCAGCAAGAAACAAAGACCTTACCGGTTCGGCGTGGCTCAATAAACTCGATTTAATGAACCAGTCGGAACCCATATAGTTGACGCCGTTTTTTGCCCGTATAGGGTTGAACTTCAAAATGCTTTTTGTTTATGTTCTTACTTTAATTCGGGTACAAAGTTTTAGTGGCCAAAAATAAAACAAAATGAACGATAGCGGCTCCGAAAATCAGCCGAAACTTTGGAACGAGAGATTGCGCTCAATTAGCACCCACAGATAGATAAAAAAGAACTTTCGTTATCAATAATTCTGGATCCACTTTATTCGAAAACGATTACAAAAAAGGACAGACGGGATGCGAAACGTTCCCAAATTTCACGCGAAAACGCACCAGTATTAAAATTAAATTCAAGTACGATTTTCTCGTAAAAATTATGGGTAATATATCTCTCAGATTAATACGTAATCAGTCGAGTGCCACTTCGGTATTGTCAATAGCGCTCAGTACTAACTCATTGCTTGCCAATAATGACGACGTTTGCGGTGTTGCTAGTAGCTATAGCGACGGCTCAGGTCCAAGTAAGTATTCCGCCACTACTACCCGCGACTCCCGTACCCTCCTGCGCCGTTCGTTTTAGCAAGTCGCGTCCATTAATCAAGGCAACGACTCGTTGGTCCCAGAACCTTACATGGTGGCACTGTTTTTACACCGTAACTACACAAGGGAATCGGTCCATTGCAGCGGCACGCTCATATCGAGCAACTACGTACTCACGGCGGCTCGTTGCTTCTTCGACAACGAGTGAGTTGCCTCCGCGTAGTCCCGCGCAGCGATCTCACCTCGATTTCCTAGCATTTCCACCATAAACATGATCTTCGGAGCTTCGGCCACCGATCGTTGGGAAGAAGGTCACCTGACGGTCACTCAAAACACTTCGGGGCTCACTCTTCACCCGGGTTTCGATCCCGACAGCTTCGCGGATGACGTGGCGCTTATAAAACTAGACGATGACATCGTCTTCACGAACTCCATAGGATCAATCGAGCTTTACGGCGGCAACGACACTTTGGACGGGCAAAACTCCACCATACTTGGTAAGGAACGGCACTGAAGAATCCGACGGGCATATAAAGATATTTCTAGGTTTCGGTCTGTACGATTACCAACTGAAATCCGCTTCGAACCCGGTGCTCCAGCTCGTCGAATGTACCAACAGCGACGACTTCTACACCGACCTCGTAACCGACAACCAGATCTGTTTCGACGGGTCTGGGTTCCTGTCCGCCTGCGAAGGCGACTTTGGAGGACCGGTAGTCGTAGATGGCGTCCAAGCGGGCATCATCTCGTTCTACCACGAGGACAACTGCAACACGGACCAACCGACCGTCGCGACCAGGATCTCCGCCTACCGGGATTGGATTCGCGATATCTCCGGGGTCTAATTCAAACCAATTCGACGCATTTGATTGCCTTGTACGCTTTATCAATTAAAACTTTACCATCTTAAATAGGGGCGTGTTATTTTATTGGGGCGAATTCATTGGTCCCACGAAGCGACGGGGGCGTTGAAACAATGACACCCTATTAGCCTGGGACGAAAGCTCCGCCCTGTCTTGTAAAGCGGAGCTCCCACAACAGTGAAATTTTCAGTTTACAATGTAAACGATTTCACATATTATTGGGCCAACCTGAAGACGTTAGACTTCTTCAGTCGAATATATTATTTTTTATATAAATTTATCTTCCCCGTCGGTTCGAGAGCGACGAGGTCGTAATCGAGCCGATTAGAGATCGCGAATATTGATAATCGCTCGAGCACCATTCGAATGAAAAAAAATATTTTGAAACGGTACTCAGTAGCACAAAAACGCCTTACAATGTCGCTCGCAGCGTTGATGATCGTCCTAGCCGTCTCCATCCCGGTAAAGTTAGTCAAGGGTGGTACTTACCGACTTTAGAAGACGCTTCTTTTAGCACGTCGCCTGCATAAATCTGGGCAACGATTCCCTGGTGAACGAGCCGTTCATGGTGGCCCTTTTCCTTCACCGTCCGTACACGAGGGAGTCGGTCCACTGCAGCGGTACGCTCATATCGCAGGACTACGTCTTGACCGCCGCGAGATGCTTCTACGACAATGAGTAAGTCGATACCCTACACGCCTAGTAAAACGACCGATCCTTTTCCAGCGTTTCCACCATTAACATAATCTTTGGAGCTTTGGCTACCGATCGTTGGGAAGAAGGTCACCTGACGGTCACTCAAAACACCTCGGGGCTCACTCTTCACCCGGGTTTCGATCCTGACACGTTCGCGAACAACTTAGCCTTGATAAAACTAGACGATAGTATCCCCTTCACCGACTTCATAAGCCCCGTCGCCCTGTACGACGGCGACGAGACCTTGGAAGGCGAAAACTCCACCATACTAGGTACTACCGTTGCTCAAAGTGATCACCCGCTTATCATAGCACTCTGACCTTAGGTTACGGTCTCTACGACTATCAGCTGAAGTACGCTTTCAACCCCATACTGTCGACAGTCGATTGCCAAACGAGCGATGTGTTTTACGAGGACCTCGTGACCGACGAGCACATCTGTTTTGCCGGTTACGGATTCTTATCCGCTTGCGAGGGCGATTTCGGCGGACCGCTCCTCGTAGACGACGTCCAAGTGGGCGTCCTTTCGTTCTACTGGCATGACGAGTACAATTACTGCTACTTCGACCAGCCGACGGTTAGTACTAGGATATCACGATTCAGGTCTTGGATTAGAGACATCTCAGGTGTTTAAATCGACAAAACAAACCTGAACTATTGTTTAATAACGTGAACTATTGTTTAATACACGAAATAACCTTCAATTCACATGAATTAGTTTTTAAATGTCGTTAAATACGTAGATTGACTTATAATAATAATTTTTCTAAACTGATGCTGAATATTCAAAAAATAATCTTGCGTGTCAAGTTCGTTGACTTCAAAAGGATTGATTTATTTAATTAATTATGTATTAATTATTTTAAGAATTGACATGTTAATATTGCAAATTATGAAATATACCTTGGATTATGAAAAAAAAATCTGTTTTTTTATTTTCTTTTCGAAATTCGAAGTAGATTATTAATTTGGTTGATTAGTAGATTCTATTTATAAATTAAGCTTTAAGCTGTCATTAAACACATTAAAACTAATTTTGCATATGCGGTTCGTTTTTTTTAATACATTAATTTAATTGGTTAATTAACCTTATATATAACTAAAATATATTAAAAATATTCTCTCGTCTAGGGCCTTTGTCTCAAGTCAATTATTTTTTGGATTGACTGGTATTACAAAATCAATACCTTAATAACATAAATCTATAATAACTAATTTTACCTATCTATTTAGTTTATTTTATGCTGAACAATTTTACTTAATTAAACAACATTATTACATTTTAAATCTTATAAATTAGTCATTAAATATTGTTTATATTCTACTTACTCATCGTAGTCATTAATTAATTACTATAAACTAGTCTTGAAAAGACGTTAAATACCTTCAAACAGATTTAACTGATTCTTTTACCTATCTAGTTTGTTGATGTGAAACGTTCGGTCCATAATATGTTAAATTTGAAACATTGTAAATTAGTCCTTGAATATTAAAGAACCTATTTTATAATTAACCATTTTATTCATTAATTTACTGTTTTCCTGATTAATCGATGTTACATACCTTTAAATTAAATTAGTAATAGGCACTTGACCTTTAAATATATATGATAAACAACCTTGTCCTCCTCCTCTTTTCTCTTTGTTTTACGGCTCCACTTGGAGAGTGGTCTTGGTCTACGTTTGCAACTTTGTTGACTGATTGATTGACATGAAGTTAACGCTCCTTTCATTTCAAGTAAATATCAACAAATCCGTGCTTAATCGTGGTTAGTCAAAGGCAGTCCACCATATCAGATATTTGCCTTTGGCGTTCTTCTCGTGAATCGAGCTCTGAACTAAATTAAAACAGCAGGGAAAGCGCCAGACGGCAAAACTTCGAAGCGAAGGAGGGCGGTTAATTTTTTACTTCTTCCGGCGGCACCTGCGGGAAGTTTTTTAATTTGAATTTATCGTCGCCGGTTCAAATTACATTCGCCCCGTCTGAAGAAGACCTTCCCCCATCTCTCCCGCCGGGGTGTCAAGGAATCTTTCGCCCTTATTTTTAAACTCGCCACTTATTTTGTTGACTGCTGACTCCTTCGGTGGGCGGGACGTCTCGAGGGCGTGGCGATCGGACGATTTGATTGGACAACTAAAATTTGAGACGTACATGTTCCTTTTTGTCGTTATGCTTTGTTTTAGTCCAAGGGATTGTGGGAAAGATAAGCAATTGAGTTTGAAAAGCGGATTTTTACAATTTTGCATTAGCTTATAGTTTATAGGAATTTTACGAGAATTTAACGAAACGTGGAGATTTTAAAACTCCAGAAACTGAGGTTTCCGGTACAAGATTACGATTTTGGGAGAAACGACGGCGGGTATTGGGAAAAACGGCCCTGCGGACGAGTCTACGTGACGAAGGCGAAGCTTAAAAGGACGGGCACATAAGAAATCCCCCTCACGGTCCTGCGATTTCCACGTCGTATTTCTTAATAACGCGGAGAGACGGGGGGCCATTACCTCGACACGTGGGGGATCCGCGTGACTTTACGGCGGAGTGGGCTACGTGACGGCGACGTCACCGGAATATATACCCGCTCCCCGCGTTGTTTACAAGAAATAATTGGTTTTCGTTGTCTGCCATTACCGTTTTTATTTGCCCGGATCCCCTATCCTACCGACTGCGCCGCTAAGCAGCGCGATTTCGATGCAGCGACGGTCTTACGCCGTCGGGGGACGGGTCGAGATTTATATCTTTTTTTCATTAGACGCAGCGCCGGGGTAGGCCTCAGAGGACTCCAGGGACTCCATTGTCAGCCGTAATGACATCAGGGTTTGCTCAATAAAGGTGCCGATACGAGCAAATGCGCTCGGCTCGTCACAGAACTTTTAAGAGGGTCGCATTGTCGGTGGGTGAAAAAATAACCCCAGCTTTCTTTCGCTGGAATTTTACCGGCAAACGGGATGAAAAAACAATTTTTCTCGCAACGGCGTTTTCAGCCTCCTTAATTAATTCAAATTCAGTGCTGAAATTCGACCACTACCGCGGCATCTCACGGATACTAACCGTAACCAAATCCATCGTCTGTCGCTATTTGATGTGTTACCTGCACCAAAATCAAGGGTGACCAAATTGATTCTTGTAGCTTTCGAAAGTTCCGGCCAGGTGGCGCAAAGTGTAGAATATATTGGACCAGTGGATGCCCCTTTTCAAATAAAGATCGGCATTTTTCGACATGAGACTTTTTTTTTATTTCACTTCGACATCGATTAAAAAGCCAGTGATCATGCGTCTCTGTCCAGGAGCCTTCAAAAGATAGAAGAAGCTGTCATTTGAACGTCAGCGGTACGTCAAAAATCCAAATACAAAAAAACCCATGCGGACGTAATCGGTAAAGAAACAGGCGGTTGCGTTTTAGACGAGATGCCACCGAAAGCGAAGCCGGCGGCGCCCAGCAAAAAGACCGAACAGAAGAAGAAGGAAAAGGTCATCGAGGTAAGACGCGGAGCGATAGGGCTGACGCTTGGGAATCTAGCGGTGTGCCGTTTCAGGACAAAACGTTCGGTCTGAAGAACAAGAAGGGCGCCAAGCAGCAAAAGTTCATTCAACAAGTGGAGAAGCAGGTAAAAACTGGCGGGATCCACCCGCTGAAAGAGACCACAAAGAAAACCGAGAAGGAACAAAAACTTAAGGAACAGAAGGAGCTGGCAATGCTGTTCAAGCCGGTTCAGTCACAGAAGGTGGAGAAGGGCGCCGACCCCAAGTCAATCGTATGCGCGTTCTTCAAGCAGGGCCAGTGCGGCAAGGGAGACAAGTGCAAATTCTCCCACGATCTAACCATCGAGAGGAAAGCGGAAAAACGGTCCCTGTACGTCGATATGAGGGACGACGATGAAAATGATACCATGGAAAACTGGGACGAGGACAAGCTGAAGGAGGTTATTGAAAAGAAACACGGCAAAGCAGGCGGAAAACTCCCAACGACTGAAATTGTTAGTTTTTTGTGTCTAGTGAGGAGAAGAATTGTAAATAATTTTTTTTTTGTAGATTTGCAAACATTTCTTAGAAGCGGTCGAAAAATCCAAATATGGGTGGTTCTGGCAATGCCCGGCCGGCGAAAATTGCATCTACAGGCATGCCCTGCCGCCCGGGTTCGTCCTGAAACGGGACAAAAAGAAGGATGACAAGAGGGAAGAAATTTCGCTGGAGGATTTGATCGAGAAGGAGCGGGCCGCGTTGGGCCCCGCCCAAACGAAGGTCACTCTCGAGACGTTCCTCGCCTGGAAAAAGCGCAAAATCCAGGAGAAACGGGACGCCGCCAAAAAGGAAGAGGACAAGAAGAGGAACGACTATAAGGCGGGCAGGCAGGTTGGCCTCTCCGGAAGGGAAATGTTTAGCTTTAACCCTGAGATGGCGGCGCAAAACGACCTCGAAGATGGGGATGAGGCCTTCGATTCCTCCATGTACAAAGAAGAGGACGAGGAACAGATCCAGTACAAGGAGATCAACCTGGATATGCTCGGAAATGAAGTTTCAGAGGTTAGATCTTTCTCTTCTTCATCCTTTTCAGAAATTTACTAGATATCATTCTTCTTCTTTTTTACTTGGAATGAAGGTTGACGGAAGCGGTACCGTGGCGGGAGAAGATCGATTCGCGGAGAGGAACGGGGAAGCTGGTAGTTCGAACGAACCTGCTGTACCCATCAATGAAAACTTGTTTCTGGACGAAGATCTGGACGGTTTGGATGACGAGCTGAACGATCTGGATCTAGACGATTAACGGATCGATCGGATTTGCTAGTTTAAGTGTAAATAGGCTACATTACTAGTGTCGGCGGCGATTTTTTAAAAAATAAAGGTTATTACGTGAAATGTTTTTAGTGCGGTCTGCTCCCGCTCCCCAAAAAAAAGAAACGAATTTTATAAAACGATTTATTTAAACTTACAAAATCACTTACACGCCCAAAAGGAAAATATGATACCCCCAAAAATGACTATGCTAACTTAGGACATTGCGTAACAGTACGCTATAAATATAAAATACCTATATAACGGACGTTTCACGTCCGTTACAATAAATTTAAGCACCAATTTTCGTAACACAATAAATACTACGAGCTACGTTAAACTAAACACCCTGTGGCTTGAAATCACCAAGTTAAAAAAAAAAAGTGGAACGCTCTGTTGAGGTTAAGCAACGCGGCACGAATGACGTTTAACGCCGTCCCCATTACCGAGTACGGATAGATTCTTCTTCTCGGTAACATTCCGAGAGAGCGCGCCTTGAAAAAAATACTTGTAATTGACCTTGCAAACGAGTAGGTTTATTAGTTTACTGCGTTCTTTTATTCTAGGATTAAATGTAATCCCGTCGTTGTAAAGTTTATTGCGTTTCAGACGTTCCGCTCTTTTTTTTTATCTAAATTTAAATCAATGCTAAGTCGGTAGGAAAGGCTCGACTGATGTCAACTCCTGCTGATCCTCGGCCCGGACCTTCTGCAGCGAATTCTTCCGGAGCGAGTACGCCGTCGTGCCCGCTGTTCGGATAAAAAACAAACGTCACGGAAAATAAAGGTTGCGCAAAACGAAAACTAAGTTTATTCTTGCAAAACTATGTTCACACGTCATTGGGACGACTCGAGCGTGTCCGAAGATGCGGTATCTGTTTGGTTACCTCGTGTTTTCAAGACGCACTGAGCCAGAACGTGGCAGAGGCCCGCCGCCAACGCGCCGAACCCGAAGTACCGGAATGTCAGCGCTACCGAGTACGTCCGTATGGATATTCCCGCGCAGAGGCTGCCCAACGACACTCCCACTCCCTCAAATATCGCCCCGACCAATCCCTGCGAAACGCGACCTCTAAAAGAAGAAGACTCGACGCCGGAACCTCACCTGAACCGTGGCTTCGGTACCGGGCGGGGCCACTATGCTCGCGTACGACGCCATGCATGCGTAAAACAAACCGAAAGTGAGGCCGTTGCTGAACTCAACCGGTATAAACCACCACGGGTCAGGAATGACCGAGTAGACGATGAATCTGAGTCCGATGACGACGAGCACGAGCGACATCGCGTTCACGTGACCGATCTTCTTCAGGATCTTGCCGGATAGGAAGAAAAAGGGCAACTCGCCGCCCAAACACTGCACGCTCATCAAGATGCCCTGCAACGTTTTCACGTTGCCCTGGCCCCGCGCCTTCGCCAGATCCTCTACCAGCCAGAGCAGGAAGTTCCAGATAATGCCGGTACACATGCCGACCGACACGCACCACAGGAAGTACACGTCCACCCTTATGTTCAGGACGAGTTTGCCGACGTCCTTCAGGATATTCGTCGACAGTTTCGTCTGCTCGTACTGCAAGGCAAACTCGTTTTTTTTTTCGCGATTTTGAAAACTCCCTAACTATGGGAAAAATTTAGGAAGGAGTTTAAATCGACCGAATCGGAGTAGTTCAAATAGCGAAACCGAAATAGTTCAAACGTACGACCCCGCAAATATACCACCACGCTTTACGACCTGTCGGCGCACCCGAAAACAAAAGTTTTGTAGCGAATAAGAGTAGTTCAAATGTCGGAAAGGTAGCAATTTAAAACGTACAGTCATATTTTACGACCTCCCGACGAATTAGAGAACGCAAATTTTTGCAACGAATCGAAGTAGTTCGAAACTCCGAACAGGAATAGTTCAAATGTACCGTCGTTCTACAACCTCCCGATGAATAAAAATCTAGCTGAAATAGTTTAAATCTCCCAAGCAATGAAGTATGTATTTCTATTGTCTCCACGAACGTAATGGAATGGAATAGTGAATGCGACGCCTTACCTTGAGGACGCAGGAGACGACAAAATCTAAAATTAGGAACCCGGCAGCCAAGTAAAACGCCAGGAGATAATCGGTGTACGGCTTATTCCTGCTCGTGACGTCAATGAGGATTCCGGTCAACAGCGAAACGATGCCCCAGCCGAGGGACCCGAATAGCCGTTGATAGCCGTACCGGGAGTGTTTATTTCCTTTGAGAAAAAAAAAATGAAAACCGGTATTAGCAGGCGGCGCGAGCGCGCTTGTCGAAAGTTTACCTAGCATTTCGAAGCAGATGGCGTCCGAGATACTGACGCATAACGCCTGACTTACCCAGGCGGAGACCATAAAGAAAAGGAAACACCAAAATTGGTACCGAGAGTACACGTCCGCGTCGCTGATTTCGGACTTGGTCAGTACTCGATTGACGGTGTCGTCGTTGCAATCTACGTCGCACACGCTGCGAATGCCGTCGCTCGGACATACGGGTATGACGTCGGCATCGTCTAGGGTCAGGTTGGGCGCCCTGAATATCGCTACGTCATCGAATAGTTCGCTTTTATCCAACGGCACGTTCGCGACGATCGTGAGCGTCGCCGTACGAGTAAAATTGTCGCAATATTGAGACAGTTTCCAATCATTGCAAACGATATCCCAATCCGAGCTATTCATTTGGCAGGTCAGCTGCAACGTTAAACGCTATTTTCTAGAAAATTGCGTTTCATTGCAAACACTAGTAAAAAAAACAACGCAGAACCGTAAAAAATTAACATTGGCGTTTCCCGCGCGTCAATCAGGGCTAGCAACGTTGAAAAAAAAAATACCTACCTGACATTTGGCCAACAGCTCCTTCTTCTGTATCTGGTAGAACAAGTCGCCATCTATGGTAACGTCAGGCAAGCTGTTGAACACGCTTTCGCTGTCGATACACGAGTACCGGACCTGCCTGTCCAGCGGCACGTTCGGAACGAGGAAAATGGCGATAAACGAAGCGGCCGCGACGAGCTGAGCGCCGGCAAAGATCTTCTTTTGACAGTGGAAGCGATCAGCAATGGCGCCGAATACCGGCTTGGCAATCATGCCGCATATCGGCAGGAATGTGTAGATGACGCCCACTATGACGCTGGAAAAGCCCAGGTACCGGGCGTAGACGGATAGGTACGGAACGATTGCACCGGTACCTACACAAACGATTGGTATGACCTCAAAATTAGAGCGGTCAGTTTTCGACAACTCACAGAACGACGGTTAACTGGTGACATCTAACAGGCCACATTAGTTTAACCTTGTTGTTTACCATGGCGCGAAATTAGAAATAATCATATACTAAAGCGCCAATTAACAGATAAGGCTCCATGCGAGAATGTTCGGTAAAACAAAAATTAAATTCAGTAAAGAATTCGAGCGAATATTCTGAATTACAGCAACGATTGATTGAGGAACGTCTGATGTCTACATTAATATGAATGTGACCTTAGCTGAAGCTTGGGAAAACCGATTAATTACTCCACAATTGCAATCAAGGATGTCCCAGTTTATACCGAACCGAACAATCTTTTGGCAGAACTCGGCAAGGAAATTCAAAAAACCAGGTGAATGAAAAGGACCCAGAGCGTAGCAAATCCAGATTGCATAAAACTCACCTGCATTAAACAAAAAGTAGTGACCCTTCATGGGCAGTAGCTCCTTATTAATGTGGAAAGAGGGCCTCATCCTGTCTTCCAAGCGGGCCAGAGGTTAAGGATCGACTTACTTTAAGTACGCACGTAATATCATTTATACTTGTGTCGTCGCCGAGCGGTGCCGCTTCACCCCCCCTTCGTTGCCGTTTGTCCAGGAATGTTTAACGCAAAGGACAAAGGCAACCTACACCTCATCCTTCGCGATCCTGGCGTTGACTGACGTAACGCAAGCGAGGTTATATGCGTTGTCGCGGACCGAGTCACAGACAACCGAAGTTAATTGTTATTGTTGTGCTCGTAAACCTAACCTCATAAACAAACCAAATATAACATATTGCGAACGAATCGATTTGTTTTTACGTATTTATTGAGCAAATGACGCGCCACGCGAGAAACTGCACTGCGGGCGCGGTCTACACGTACCACGAGAAAAAAAAGGACGCCCAGGCGTCCGGTTACGGCACGAACGCGCAACGATTGGGCAAAGACTCGGTCAAAAATTTCGATTGTTGCTCGCTATCGCTGCAACCTTGCAGAATACCCGTGATAACGTAAGCGTTTATCGATTGTGGTTGCATCATACGATAGCTCACGTTGCAGGAAGGACGGATACCTCTTCGACAAGGAAGTTATTCTCGAATACATCATCAGCAAAAAAAACGAACATAGCCGTAAACTGAAAGAGTATGAGAGGCTCAAGCGGAAGGAGGAGGATGAGAACACGCAGAAACGTGCGAGCGAGGTGGAGAAAAAGGTCGCGTCGTTCTTGAAATCCGAGAACAACATAGTCAGCAAACCAATCGATGGATTTAAACAAGGTAGGAGCAGATTTTTCAAAAGTCCAAGGTTAATTGTGGCGCGTTAGAACCCAGCACGTCGTCGATATCCAACATGGCCGAAGGCAGGGATAAGGTTTTGCCGAGTTTTTGGGTACCATCTCAAACGCCCCACTCTGGCCAATCGAAACTCGAAAAACCGGTACGGGTTTTAGCATTTATCAGTCTGCACGTCATGAATTCGACATTGCAGGACTCCACCATTTACTGCCCCATATCCGGCAAACCATTAAAGGTGAAAGACTTGATGGACGTCAAATTTACACCCGTTAACGACCCGGATAACAAGAAATCGATCCACGCGAGGGAAAACAGGTACATGTGCGCGGTTACGCACGATATCCTCAGCAACTCTATTCCGTGCGCGGTCTTGAAACCCACGTAAGTAATGTCGGCGCGTTTTTGGGGTCTCTCCACTTTTTTTTTCGCAGCGGCGACGTCGTTACCCTCGAGTGCGTCGAGAAAATCATCAAAAAGGACTGGATTCACCCGTTAACCAACAAAAAAATCGCAGAGAAAGACATAATTGTTATGCAAAGGGTAAGATTAGGTTAGGATTATTCTCGCCCGAGGCCTAGGGTGCGTTTTCGTGTTTAGGGCGGGACCGGCTACGCGCTAACCAATGAGAAACTGGAGGGGAAACTGGAAAGACCCGCCCTCAGGGCGTGAGTGATAATAAATATATATGTATGTCAATAAAAGTATTGCGGTCGAAATTAAAAGTATTTTTATTTCTTAAAAATATCTCAGCGTCCTTATTCAACTAGATATCAGACTGGCAAAATTATACAACGAAAAAAAATAACAAATTTCTAGCGAGTAGTCAACAACGACGGGAAAAAAACCGAAAGTGACGGTTTATGTACACGCGCAACTTAGCGAAAACGACAGCGAAATAAGGAATACCGTCGTGGTGGCCACGTTTTTGCGACAGACGAAATTTTAAGAGGGGCCATCTCTACGTAATCTCGTCGGTTCCCATATTGGTTCTGCCGCAAAACACGCCGCCGATCCCGAGATCAGTAACGGTTTACCAATTTTAAATACTGAATTAGCTAAAATACCCGGTGACCACCAATGTCGTTATCTCGACCCACCTTTAAAGTCACGAACTGGAAACGGCACTAATTTTTTTATTAAGAAATAAGTCGCTATTTTGATGATGCTGTGATCTTTTGACTGAACAATATTCTATAAAAATGCATATGACGCACCCAATATTACGAAAAAATATAAAAAAGTTTTGCCTCCAGTAAAATATTTGTTTCTAAGACTGCGATACAAGAGTGGGGGACACCGACAGCGCGTGGTCTCCCGAGGTGAGGTTCTGTACATTATGTACTGAAGTAGTTTCATAGTATCAATATATTGCACTTTTTCTTCATATAATATATAATTACGTTCTATTCGAGGAAAAAAAAACACTCCTTACGTATAACGCGGCGGTGCGGATTTTTTGAGGTTATGCCCTCCGAATCGGCGCCCCGCCCACTGAGCAGTCTAGCGTTTGCGCCAAAACGCTTCGCCCCCTATATCCGTCAAACTTTGACGCCTCCGGTGGCCCTAAAAGCAATCAAAGTCGAGCGCGGGGTCTCAGCTGTTCGGCTGGCTCGGGTACTGGATCTGTTGCCCGTTGCTAAACTCGATTCCCGCGAAAGAATGGACGTCCATCGGGGACTGCGCCTCCTGCGTTATCTCTATGTTGTCCGAGTCGTACTTGATGCCCCTCTTGAAGCGGCCGTACAGCGACGAATAGGGCAGGTTGTAGTGGATCGCCGCCTGGTTAATACTCATGTGACCTAACCTGAAGGTACCCGTAACCCAGAACTAGACCACGAAATTTATAGGCGGGCCCATATAATTACCTGACTGCCTCCAGGGCTTCGCCCATCGCGTCCTCGGACCACGGCGTCGGGTTCGACCGCGACAGTTCGATCCCTTCGCGTTTGCACCGCCCGTACAGCGTCCCCGTCGGTATCCCGAACTCCGTGGATGCCTTCTGCACGGACGTCTGACCCGTCCTGATCGACTCCAAAGCTTTCTCCAGATCTTCGGGTGTCCAGGTGGTCGGCGCCGCGTTAAACGGCGCCGCCAACCTTATACCCTCCCTCCGGGCTATTTTGTAGAGGGTACTGCTCGGGATACCTTGAAATCGACACCTATGGAGGAACGCCGAACATTTTTGAAGGAGGGCGGAAATTACCGTAGGCTTTGCTGGCCTTGTTCGCGGATATCGTGCCCGTCCTCAACGCTTCTAGCGCGTTGTTGAGGTTTTCCTCCGTCCACGATTTGGTCGGCCCCTCCTTCTTGGGCGTGTCGATGCCGAGACGATGCGCGCGCTGCCACAGCGTCGTGGAGGGGATGCCGTACGTAGCGGACGCCTTGGTGAGACTCATGTTGTGATTCTTCAACGCGTCCAGCGCCATGTCCATATCCTCTTGGGTCCAGGTCTTGGGCCCGCCTCCCGTATGACTTCTGGGCGTCATCTGGTGGACGTTATCGCCGTGGCCGTTGTCCTTAGTGTCGCCCGCGTTTCCAATACCTATGAAACCAAAGTTCCTTTCGCCGTTTTTACGCCCTGCAGAAAAAAATACCGAGCCTGTTGGACATGCCGGGTCTCATGCCGACGCCGTAGTCCATGTGGTGGTGCTGCAGGTCCAGGTCCTCGTGGCTGCCGATGGAGTGGTCGCCGCTCATGTGCGAGTCCATCTCTAGGAGGCTGTCCTGGTCGAAGGAGCGTAATGTTTCGAACTTGACGTCCGCTTCCTTTTTGATTTCCATCGTATACTTGGTGGTCGCGTCCGAAAGGTCGGTACGGTGGATGGGGGTGTTCGTCAGCATGGTGGGCGAGTGGTCGGACATGTCCAGGTGGCCGACGGGGATGGCGGACGGCGCCGGCGGTTCCGGAGGGAAATCTTCCGCGTCGAACTGCGAGAACAACGTCATACCGTGGCTACTCATGTTCAGCGGTGTTTCTTGTTCGGGTAGCGGGAGGCCGCGACCCTCTACGGGCATATCATTTTCCAGCCCGGGTTTGTTCTTATTGTCGTAAGGCGGCCCGCGTCCTTTTCGATTTAAGCGTCTGGAAACGAAATATAGGTGACATCGCCGACGCGTCTGCAACGCTCCGCCTACCGGTACTTGTACTTTCTGTTATTGTCTTCCGGATGCGTGGGAGACGATTTCCTGTAGAGTTCGCTAGAAACTAGAGGCGGCACGGTAGAGGTAGCAGTTCTTTTTTCGTCGGAGTCGCACAGTCCTTTGATTTTGAGCTGATCGGCGGTCCTTAGAAGCGACTGCAAGCGGAAAACTTGGGATAAAATTTTAAACGAGCTTTTTGGAGTATAATTTAAGGCAATGTTTTGGGATACAACTTTAGGCGGGCTATCCGGATGCAATTTGGCTTAACACAAGTTTAGAGGTTAATTTGCCAAATTTTGAACCAGGCTTAGGGATACAAGTTTAGGCCAAGGTTTGGGATACAAATTTGAAGCAAGCTTCTGGGATAAAATTTTGTAAAATTTTAAACAAGCGTTCGGTAGTTTAGGCTAAGGCTTGGGATACAACTTCTGGGATATAATTTTAGAAGACAACTTGTAGAATTTTGAATCAGGCCTAGGGATAAAACTTTAAACCAAGGTTTCGATACAACTTTGGAGCAAGCTTCTGCAAAAATTTAAACAAGCGTACAATTTTAGGCTAAGGCTTGCGATACAACTTTTGGAATATAATTTTAGAAAACAATTTGTAAAATTTTGAATCAGGCATAGGGATACATTTTTTTTTTAAATACAATTTTAGAGATCGCTTCTGGGATACAATTTTAGATGACAATTTGCAAAAATTTGTTACAACTTAGGCTCAGGGTAATTTTAGAAGATAATCTGAAAAACTTTGAGTCAGTCCTAAGGATACAACTTTAGACTACGATTTGGAATACAACTTTAAGGATAGCTTCTGCAACTTTAGACGATGGTTCCGGGATATAATTTTAGAGCACATTTTGGAAAAGCTTAAATCAGGTTTTGGGATAGAACCTAGGCATACAAATTTCGATCAAGATATGGGATACAACTTAAAATGCAATTTTTTAAAGTAAGCGTTTAAAATGTTGCCATCTTGCCACGTTGCCGGATTTCAGAGTAATTATAAGCTAAAGGGGAATTACGCATACTTATAGCCATGACAATTTTGCGTTTTCTCGTGAAATGCGACGTTGCCAAATGTCAAAGAACCGAAACGATTCGCCATCTATATAGAACGCGGCAGTGCTCGGAGGCGGCGGCATCGCCGCCGCCAAGACTGACGACCGTGTCCCGCGTGTGTCCTTGAACCCCGGTATTGATTGGCGCCGACCGTGTAGATATATGTATACGTACAGCATCACTTTCCCCCGTAGCGTCGTGAAGTTGCGTGTGCCCGGGGGTCTCATCCTAGTTGTTGGGGGGGTGGGGGGGATGAGCGCAGGAGACGCACGCCCTCGCAACTCCCTCTGGGGGGGGGCGGCAAACGGAATTGACTTTCCGGGGAGATGAGCGCCGCGCTGATTATCGGTCGAAGGGCGACTGTGGCGGGGGGGAGGATTAGGGGTGCCTCCGTGATATTCGACGTTTTATATACGGGGTGTCGCGAAAAATGTTAAGTAAATATTGTCGAGTCGATATAGTAAAAGTGAAAGGGGGGCGTGCGGAACGGATTTGAGTGGGGGGGGGGGAGGTATACGCGCGAAGGACGTACGTAAAGAGGACTCGGACGTACGGCGGGAGCAAAACAGAACGCGAGGACGAAAGTTTACGTACGCGGCGCGGTGGCGTCCGCGAGGTTTTCGCGAGAAGATCAAACGGATTCAGGTCGGAGGGCTTCAAGGACAACGCGGCGAGGAGGCGTTCGATAACCCGAAGAAAGGTCGTCCCCGGCCCCCGTCCCGCAGGTGGTACTTACCGGTACGCCGCCGTCTCGGTCTCGCGCGCGCACACACACGCACACGCACCACGCACACACACACAACCACCGGGTGCGGCGTTGTACTTCGCGCCGGCACGGCCTATACTAAACTCTCGAGAGTCGTTCTTCCTCCGAGGGGGGATGCTGCACACGGAGAAGGCCTCCCCGTGATAGATCGCCTCGTCTCTTTCCGGCGGCGCACGCATTACGCGGATCGCGTAGAGGGAGCTGCTGTGCTATAATACACGAAGACTTCGGGCGGCGCGCCGGCTTTTAATTGGGGGCTTTTTGCGGACGGGGCGACGGAAGGCGGAGGCGGCGGGGGTGCCGGCTTGACGTCCCGCGATCCGAAATTGCGGGGGACTTTTTTTTCTTTTTCCGAAGTATTGTTTGGGGCGCGTCTTTGGTTAATTGTAGGCCGGATTTAATATACAGTGTGTTGTATTATTAGTTTTATAAAAAAATATATAAATTTTATGCAAAAGTAAAATACTTCTATACTGAAAATGTTGAAATGATGTCATATCATCCAGGTAGGATAAAAAAAAAGTTATTACCGATGTAATGCAACTAACACCCTGTATATCGTAAAGATGTTTCCCGCACTCGTTCCCGAGCCACGGGGTAAGTAAAGTATTTTGAAAGTCCTCTTACATTTTTTATTTCTGAAAATTCGGAATTTTTTAATTAGTTAAAAAACAATGCATTTAGTTTTAAAAAATATTATGCTAAATTTTAAAATGAAAAATATTTCAAAAAATTAAACCTTCGCTAATAACGGTATGACATGCTGGACCAGGCCAATTGACCTCTTCTTAATGGACTAGTCAAAAAATGTTTTAAACAAAATCTTGTAGATTGTAGAGTCTTATCTATCATTGTTTAAAAATAATATGTATTTTAAAATAAATTATTATGCGATTGTCCAATTTGCCCATAACCCTCTTCGAGGAATCCCAGTAATAATATCGACTCCATTTGGTTCCCAGAACGATGCGACAGCGAAGTAACGCCCAATATAAATAAATAAATATAAATTTCATGGTATTTTTGAAATTATTTCGGTCAATTGACACAAAAAAATTTGAGCCGTCAATGATCCCGGGCATCTTTACTCCATTTTTGGTCATATGTGCTACAAATACCCAAAACAGTCAAAGCATATTTTTTAAAATATCGGCCATCGTTATTAATAAAAGGTCATTCCGCAAACATATACAACAAGTAAAACTAAGAAAAAATATCCAACCAAACTGACCAAAAATAACGGTAAGTGTTCATAGGCCCTTTGAGGACGACTTAAAAACTTAAAAATGGGCAGTTCAGGGTCAAATAATTAATGTCTTCCTTGGCCCAGGAAGCCTCCAGTATCGACTATGAATTCCACCCCAAGCATAAGTTTAGTTAGGTGAATTTAGGTTATTTTTGGCTTATCTCAGAGCTAGTCTTACAACAACAACAAGGATCAACCAAACAATAGCTTCAATTAACCACAGTTTTAGATTAGTTTAAGTAGTTTTTTAAGAAAAAATGTTACTAAATGTTATAGTTTTGTTTAATATGGTTGCAACAAATATCAAGTTTGTGAATGTCCAAAATATAAAAAATCTAAAATGGTTGTCGAACACACTTTCGACAACTTTGGTGGAGCAATTAATAAGAAAAAATCCGTATAGTAAAACATCATTTTAGGACAGGAGAATGAAGACTTGGCAACGTCGCCTAACGCCGTGTGTCGCTGCCGAGTGTTTTTCTCGTCCTTTTTGTTCCCGAGGATAATGACATTTCCCACCCGGTTTTCTGGACGCGGCAGGAGCGAAAAGACGCGGACGATTCAGGCCGCTTTTTTTAAATCCGATGTTGCCGGAGATTTACGCCAGTTTAAAATACTATCGCAAAAGCATGTTAATGTCTAATTCTTAGAAAGACAATCCGACCCAGCCGGGTTCGATCCCGGCCCGCATCACGCCATTTTTGCCCAAAATAACAAATTTAAAGTAAAAAAAAATGGTGTTGCATCTCCCACGCATCCTTTATCCAAAATAAGTCTTTTAATTCGGCTTCAAAAGTTCCAAGTAATAAAAATATTATTGGCTGTCGACCGCGCTAAAGTCTTCGACGAAGCAAGTCGCGGTGTTGCCACGTGTCCGCTTTTACTTTCCGCCGGTGCGCGCGCGAAAGATGGCGATAAAAAAGGGGTCAAAAATAAACAGATTTCCCGGATGTAGGTCAAGACTGCACCGGCACGAAGCGTACGGTTAAAGAGAAATTGCAAAAAGACGGGGGAAGAGGGGGGGAGTTGTTTTATTGTCGCACATCAAGTGCGCTGCGACCGGGAAGAAACAAACGCGAAAACGGGCGTCGAGATAAACGCCCGCTGAAAACGAAGATGCCGATGACGGCGCGGAAAAACCCGACACGGTGTCACATTTGCGATGCTTTAAATTTGTTTTTAACGTAGAAAATTTTCATGCGGATTGAACCACGATTACAGCATCAACGCGTCTTAACACTGGGACCCCACCGAGATAAATCACCCTTGTTATCTATAAATTTATCTTAGTAGATCAGCTTAGAGTGATTGCTCTAAATTGGAAATGTGCCGGCAGTGCAATTTTATTGAGAGGGAGACGGATACTAAACGTGGAATTATTTTACTTGTTTTACACTTAATAATTAATAATTATCAAAACGCGCTCTGGAAGCGAGTTCGCTTGAAAGACATTTAATACTAGATTTTGACAGAATTAGAATAATTATGTCAGAAAATAAAGTAATCCAACAAGAGTCATTTTCTATTATGAAATGTGCCTCTATTCAGTTCCATTTTTTTTAAATATCGAATTTTGAGCTCGTTTTTTAAAATAACATAAGCAGTATAGGGGCAGGGTGGGCCAAGGCGGCCCACGAAAGATTTTTATTATTTTTTGTGACTTTTAACCATCAAGTCGATTTATTTTTGACTGACTAACTAAATTTACTCAAATTTTGGCGAAGCTTCTGGTTGTCGTGCCCCACAAAAAATATATAAAATATTTTTTTTAGAATTTTGAAGCAGTCCATTTTACTCCTGCTAATACGCAAGGGGCTAAACATGTAAAAATAACCAGGTTTTATAATTATCAGAAGAAAAAAAAATTGGTTGAGGGGCCGCCTTTCCCCACCCTTCCCATGCCAAAATGATCAACTAGCCTGCCTGGAAGTTCGTATATTGACGAAGACCAAATGGTTGCCTTACAGAATCATATTTGCAAACATAAAAAATCCAAAATAGAAATTTCGAAAGAACCGAGTAATTGACAAGTCCGCCAAGGGTCTGGGATCTGCTTTACCGTTTTAAATGGTGACCGAA